AGGAAAGCCAAGGTACAAGATCCATCGCGAGCTCATAATGTGCAATCATAACTTAGATTGAGTAGGTGCCATACCTAACCACTGTGCATAAGTTCTAATATAACACCCAGCACTACAAACCTTGAAATAGCAACGGTAAAGACATTCAAAGTGAGAAACATCTATATTGTTATGTAATCTTTACATGTTAATGGGTTTCATTCATTACAACACAACATGAACAGTCTAGGTAAAGAGTCATTGATATGTAGTCATACGTGTGTTGTATTTCCACGGTTCAGTTAAAAGGAGAGTTTTTATGTAGATTTAATAGAGAGCTAAAATTATTGACTGCTCTAACCCATCAATGAGAAATCCTATTCACTGATATAGCAATTAAAAATGATGACATTTATGTTGACAAAAATTCCTATCTCTCGTACTTCTAACTATGTTAAGTGATTCAATATATGCTATTAGGAATTTGATATATTTAAGTTCAAGTTGCATCGGCATTCTGGTTTAGTATGTGAATTATGAGCACCACTGGAGTTTATATACTTCAGCGCGTTGATTTTTTTAATCACGCGTAGATTGGAGATCGTGTTGATTGCTATTTGAAGACTTGAAGAGTACTATTAAGCAAAAGTGACTAACTTTTGGTCATAATAGATTGAGAGTCTGTATAATTAAGGAATCTATGGCATGTTATTAAGATTTATGGTAATGTTATTATTATTACATTTGTTAGAAGCTTATGTTTTGTTGTAAATATAAATGGGAAGCATGAAATTATTTGTGGTGTAAATATTTGGAGGACATGATTGAAATAGTTTACTATAGTCGGTTATTGATTAGGTCATGAAAAAACTTGATATAGATTCTGATTTGGAAAACTAAATTGCTGAGATATTTAATATGCTATTGAGGATTTTTATTACAATTATTGAAAAGATATATAAAGTTTGTTATTTGTGTTATGGATGATTCTTTGGGAGACGTTTGGAAGTTTAGAGTGTAATTGGGAGTAGTTTATTATTCATAATTTTTCATACAGTATTTGATAATCCGCATGACAGGACATAGGTCAAACCAGATTTGTAGCAGTATGATATCCGCATGACAGGACATAGGGTCAACCAGATTGTAGCGTCTCAGCTCGGTTCATTCGGGTTAACGGGTGGACCGGGAAGGGATGTTACAAGCAACCTGACATTTAGCTTCGAAAATTTTTCTTCGTTGAGTGTCGCTATCCTGTTTTGGAGAATACAAAATTTTCTGAACAACATATGTAACTTCTCCATCTTCAGAACCAGCCATGGATCCATCATCTTCGTCTTCTACCTCTTCAACCTCAGTCACCTCATCAACTACATTCACCTGTCAACGCCCATCAATAGCCCCCCTATGTTCTGGACATATATTAGATGTATGCCCCTATTTTCTACAATGGTAACAAAAATCTCAAGTTGGCTTCTGATATGGATTTGACTTATTGTTTCTATCTGCCGTGGGAACCTTTCCTCGGGAGACTTTCTTTTCTTCTATTGTGAGCTGCTGTGAACTCTGGTTATTGGCAGGAGTGGTTGCTCTTGAGTTCTGTCCACCAGAATTTCTACTGAATTGCTGATTTCCGAATGAATGGGGTTGCTTGAAATTCTAGTTAAAATTAGGTGGTTGTTGAGGCTGCCAATTAATTCTATCTTCTGCACATTTGACCATCTCAATAGCATCTACCAAAGTGAAAATCGCAGCTACACCCATCATACACATTATATCATATGATTCAATCCCCTCTGATAATGAGCCACTTGCTAGGATTCAGTCTCACAATTGTCACATCGAGCCTGTAATCTCAAAAATTCTTCCATGTACTCATCTACCTTTTGATTTCCTTAGAAACAGTCATGATACCTGTTGTACAGTATTTGAGAGTGATCACTGGGAAGAAATCGCTGCTCAATCAACTATTCCATTAAAACCCAGTATCGCACTGGTTCAATCCTTCAACGATGGCATTCGTTTTGAATAGAATGCCACCATGCTGTTGCACCGCCTTTCAGTTTATAGGCCACAATGGAAACTTTACGTTCATCCTCGACATTCGTGATCTCAAAGAATTGTTCAACCTCCACTAGCCAGTCAAGAGTGCTTTCTATATCTAACAATCCTGAGAAAGGTTGAAGATCTACCTTTATCTTGTATCCGTCATTGAAATTGTCACCATTCCCTATGTAATCTCGGCCTCCATCATAACGATTTTGCTGTCTTGCATAATCTGGTTGCTATGGATTCGGAGCTGCTGTTGCAGCCGCAGGTTACGGGTTGCCTTGTTGGATTGCGATGGTCAACTACCTAATCTGTTCGGTTAACTCTTCGAACCTCGCCTCGATGGCTATGAGTCGTGTCTCATGATTGTCGGCCATGGAGATACTTCGCGTTTCGACCCTGATACCAACTGACGCAGAACGGTTACGTTCTGGAAGATACTTCGCAACATCACGAGCTCCCACCGTTCGATGGCTATGAGTCGTGTCTCATGATTGTCGGCCATGGAGATACTTCGCGTTTCGACCCTGATACCAACTGACGCAGAACGGTTACGTGAATGGAAATAACGATTGTACTCCGTCAAGAGTTTTGATCAATGACGTTTGATCTGACAAAAGAATTAGAGAATTAAACTCTCAAGGAAGTTTATTGAATATGAATAATGATCAAAAGATAATGAATGTGCCAATAATACAAAATAGCCTATTTATAGATTAGGTTAAAGCATAAAACCCTAAAAATAATACAAAAGTCAACTAGACAAAACCCTGGTAAGAGTGGCGGCACGGGCGTGCTAGACATGACACGGGCATGTCCTGGGCTTCAAGAGGCTGGCATGGGGCGTGCTGGAAGTGACATGGGCGTATCTATATGCAAATCGTAGCTGGACCTGTCGGCACGGGCGTGTTGTACATGGCACGGGCTTGCTCTAGACTCCCGGAGGCTAGCACGGGTGGGTTGGAAAGTGACACGGGCGTGTCTGTGCTTCTTAAGCTTGAGCGTGTTTTGCGTCCTGGACTTCCAGAGGCTGGCACGGCCGTGCTGGATATGGCACGGTCGTGCCCCTTCTTCTTGGGTTTGCAGCGATCCAAATCTTCCATATATTGAAGTGCAAGTTGCTCCGCATCAATTACTAATCACAAAAATAAAAAAATAAAACCCAAATAATTCATGGGTTTGACTTGATTAATTTTCTTTTCACATCTGATTGAAGTGATAAATTAAACAACACTTTGTCGCTAATTTATTCCATTTCCTATATTCCTCTTATTTCTTCCACCATTAAACTGACCCAGTGCAGAAACAAAGCTGCAGAGATTAAAAAAATAATAATAATAAATAAAGAAAAGAAAAGGAAATGGGTCCATGGTTTTTATACGGAGATTTGCTTCCTTTTATAGCTATGGTGTCTGTAGAATGCACAAATGTTGGAGCAAACACTTTGTTCAAAGCAGCTTCTTCGAAAGGGATGAGTTATTATGTATTCATAGTTTATTCTCATGCAATTTCAACTCTTGTTCTTCTACCTGTACCCTTCAGTTTTTACAGGTCTTTAGTTATTTCTGTTTCTCCTAATCAATCTTTTCCTTTTAACTTATTCATAGATCTAATCTAATGGTAAAACAGTAGTTTTATTTCTCATTATCTATTCATGGCGAATACAGAGCAGCAGCAGAAATCAAGTTGCCTCTTCTCTATAGAATTTGTGTTCTTGCGCTTATTGGGTAATTAGTACATCTCATAAATCAATCTGCCTTTTTCATTTTTCTTGCTATCTAATTAGTACATCTCATAAATCAATTCTGCCTTTCATTCTTTGCTATCTTTGAATTTTCCTTTTCTTTTTTTAATTAATTTTTGTTTTTGGAGGATTTATGCAGGTTCTTAGTCAGATAGTTGGAACTAAAGGGTTCTAGAATACAGTTCTTCCCACTCTTTCCTCAAAGCCATGACAACCTAAAGCTTCAGCTTTTACCTTTGCCTTTGCAGTTTTGTTTCAGGTGTGTGTGGTGTGTCTCAATCCTTAAACTCAAGGTCTAATCCATTTTTTTATGGAGGCTAATCATAAAAGATCCCATAGGCTGATTTGTTCTTTTATGGTTAATTTTAAATTTTTAAAATCTTATGGAGGCTAATCATAAAAGATCCCATAGTGATTTGTCTTTATGGTTAATTTAGAATTTTACAAATCAAAGTAATCCTAACAAATGTATTGCTAATTTAGTAACTAACCTCTCCTTCGGTGTAAAGGATGGAGAAGGTAGCTATGAGAAGGTCAAGCAGTCAAGCTAAAATTGTTGGAACTATAGTTTCAATAGCAGGAGCGTTGGTGGTTCTTTTCTACAAAGGCCCAACCATTTTATCCACTATATCTCCGACAAACACCATTTCGTTTCGTTGGCCTCTTGGCTCTGCGATGTCTGATTGGATTATTGGTGGCCTCTTGCTTGCTACACAATGTCTTCTTGGTTCACTTTGGTACATTATTCAGGTACGCAAAGGTGAAATCAAGATTTTAAATTAAGAGATACGAAATATAAAATACTTAAAACAAGAGAGCCAAACTGTGTAAAGAATGAGAGATTGGTTTAAGATCTGGGTTCCAAGCCCACCTTCTCCACAACGTAACCTCACCACTAAACATACTCGTTCAAAATTTATACCAATATTAAAATATATGGTTAATTATACAAGTGATGTCTGAACTTTTTAATCTTTTCTATTTTGGTGTTTAAATCAACAAAATTACAATTAATGCTCGGTTTATTTCCATACAATAATTTACAGGAAAATAACTTGCTGAAAAATATTTTCAATGAAAAATATTTTCTTTGAATAATATTTTTCAAATGATTTATTTTCCATTGTTTGATTGTGATATTGAAAATTAGTTAAAAATATTAAAGTTTTTATCTCATAAGACCATAAAAAATATTATTAATAATAGATATTTTAAAATTTTAAAATTTTATTATTAAGTACGAGAAGAATGCAAAAAAAAAAATGTAAATTATAAAAGTCGGTGGTGGCCCGTACGTGGAGGTGGCCCGTACGTGGAGGTGGCTGCCGGTCGCCGGCAGTGGTGGCCGATGGATGGTGGTTGGTAGTAATGGTGACTAGTGGTAGCGATTATGATAATTAATCAATTTAAAAAATATGAATTTATAAGGTCCGTCAATGTTCAGAAAATGTTTTACTTTCTTGAAAATAAAAAGTTGTTTTCTTTAAAAAATAACTTAATTCTCCTTTGGCCAGAAAAATATTTTCTGTTGACTTATTTTTCTAAATGCCCCAAATAATGAAAAATTATGAAAAATATTTTTCTATAAATTATTTTACAGAAACAAACAGAAACAAATGGCGTCTAAGTATTTAAATTATTACTAAAAACGCTGCAACTATTAAGCATCAAATGCTGAATTAGCTCACCAGAGTTGCATACGAACTTTAATATGAAATTTTGACTTTTATCTTCATTTTTAATTCCATTTTCTTTCGTTTCACATTTAAAAAACACAGAAATAATATAATTTAAAAAAAATTTAAACAGAGGGCTCAATTTTCTGTGGAAGAACTTGATCATCATGACTTAATTTGATGTAGGCTGAGATTTTGAAGATATACCCAAAAGAGCTTATTGTGACATTTGTGTACACTTCGTGTGTGACCATCATCTTATTGTGACATTTGTGTACACTTCGTGTGTGACCATCATATCCGCCCCAGTATGCTTTGTTGCGGAAAGCAACTTGGATGCTTGGCTACTAAAACCTCATATGGCATTACTTGCTATTTTGTACTCGGTAAGTGTTTTTTTTTCTTTTAAATCCTTAAATTTTAACTATATATAATATCTATTGAACCCTTCAGCTTCGAAATTATAGAGAGTCATTTATTAAACTAATGATTCAATTAACCCAATTTGAATACTAAATTAGCAATTAACTAATGCAAGATCAAGGACCATTTAAAGGCTTTTAGCCTTAATATTTGATAATTACAAAAATAAACAAAAGATAATAGGGAGAAAAATAGTAAGAACTATTATTTTTTTTGATATCAGATAGATAAATTAAGTGTTCGTACACAGATAATTGTGAGACTTTTATAGAGAATGCATATAGTTATTATCCAGTTATCTGAACAAGAGACGTGAGTTTTATTATCAAGCGGTTGACTCAGATATTCAATACATAGTTGACCGAGCGTTACTAAACTGGATCCTTTGAATTTCAATTTATAACGCTCGGTCTTATACTCATATATGCTAATGGTTTTAGGCTCATTTAAGGGGTTGTTATATTAACGAATAAGCTTATGGTATATTTACTATAGTCCATCGGTATTAATAATAAAATAATAATATTTTCTTCCAATTATACCTTATGGTAAAATTGAAAAAATTAAAAAGTTTTAAGATAAAATTGCAAGAGGTAAAAAAGATAATGGCTTTTTGTGATATTAAAGAGGTAAAAAAGATAATGGCTTTTTGTGATATTAAATAGGTTTTCTAAATATGTGATTTGGTATCTGTTTAGGGAATTTTTGCACAAAGCTATAGCACCGTTATTCATTCATGGGGGCTGCGTTTGAAGGGGCCTTTGTATGTAACAATATTCAGACCATTGTCAATTGCTATTGCAGCTTTTATGGGTGTCTTATTTCTTGGGGATGCTCTCCATCTTGGGATGTATGTATGCTCATCTTTTTTTGTTTTTAAATTATTTTTCGTATTCCATTTATATATTCCTTGGAATTATCAATTTCACAAAAGAAAATTCTTCAAAATTCATTAATTTGCATTTTATACCATTAACTTGTACCATTAACTTGCGTCAAAAATAAATAATAAAAAATCAGTGAATTAGTTTTTCTCAGCTTAAATATTCATCAATTTTTCATTCCAAGATCTGACCCATTGATTCTCTAATTGAAAGTTTCTCTTTAAGTCAATAGAAAATATCAATATTTGGTAAATTATAAATGCTGATTAAGTCAAATCAGCAAATTAAGCATTATTTTATTATTTATTAAATTTGTCTTCTTTTATTTATTTATTTTATTTTTTTTAAATTGCAGTATTATTGGAAGCTCTAATTAATATTCAATGGGGTTTTTATACTGTGATATGGGGAAAAGCAAATGAAGAAAGATTTCAAGTGGAGGAACAAGGATTATTAGTGACTTGAGATCTACTTCAAAGAGTTCCTTTCTTTGCAAACACCCATTAATGACATTGTAGCCAAAAAGTAATTGAAGATTTTTTATCTTTGATTTTTTCTTTTATTAGTACTTAACCACACCTCATTTTGTAAATTTTTGAGGTTTTTGTCCTTCATCAAATCCCTTTTTTTATTTTTTTAAATATTAGAGAGAAATGTTCAAACTCCGAATCTTATTGTCAGGTCAACATTGTATTACTTTAGATTATGCCTTGGACGTGTTTATCAAAATTTCATACTTGAATGAAAAAAAAATAATGCTTATTCTGCGTGCTCAGTTTAAACGTTTTCAAAAATATTTATTGTCAAATTTTTTATTGTCAAATTTATGTAATGAATCATGAATATTTTTTTATATGGATAATAATCTTTCGTATTATCAAATAATAAACTTTTTTTTTAGTGAAAATCAAATAAACTCTTAAATGTCACTAAACTATACTCCTGAAATAAAGAGCCAGCAACCAAACAAATGATGTATTGATTAATTGAAAGTAACCTGAAAATTTTACATCTCTTTATGAATGTAAGATACAATTTATTTGAGTTGATAATTTAAACAAATCGGGTAAGCAAAGTCGGGAAAAACTGAACAAATTAATCCAATCAAATTGATTTAGTTTAATTATTTATATAATTGGTTTGATTTTAGTTTATAATAGCAAGAACTGAAGTTTTTTAATTCGGTTAGATTTTTATTGAATTTAAAAAAATAAGTCTAAATTAATTAAAATAGTTAAAATTCAATTCAACTAAACAAAATTGAATCAATTCGATTTGATTCGATTCGATTTACGTAAAAAAAATTTTTGATTTATCTAGTGAATATTCCAAATGTCCACTTCTAGAAACAAAAACAGCCATTTGAATTGTTTTATTTGTCTCATTTTTTAAATTTATTTGAAGAGCATTGGTTTACAAAACTATAAATTGCTCTCTCTCTCCTTAAAAAATCACAGACCAAGTCACAACATCTGATTCAGCCCTAGGAAACAGCAACATTTGAAACAAATTTCTTGCGGACAAAATAAAAAGTTTTCTTCGATATAGAAGAAAGTTAAATTTTGCAAGGGAGAAATCAGAAAGACAGAGATGGGATCAAGTAACTTTTACCATGTAGATAAAACACTCTGCTTCAAAGCGCTTCTTTGAAAGGTAGCTATTTAATTCATCTTGTATTCAAAACATCTTCAACACTCTTCCTGCCCTTCCAATTCCTTTGAGGTATCTCTCTTTATTCTCTGCATATCTTCTGTAAACAGAAATAGATATTATATCATATAATTTTAGTTTAATTCAGATTTATTTGTTATCTCTTTAATATATCATAACTTGATTTTTTTGAATTTGCAGCAGAACACAGTTGCCTGTCAAATTCCTTTTCTGTCAAGACTTTGATGCACTTTGATTTATTGTTAGGAAATTGTTCATGACCCTCTTCTCGTATTAAAAATGCCATAATTTTATTTGCAGCCCTAAATTTATAGATAGCTTATTTATGGCATTAACTTGTAAATTTATTAATATTACATATTCTTCGACCACTGATATATCAAATAATTTTATTCTAAACTTGTAAAAATGTTGATAATATACATACCCTTCGAACACTAATAATTTTCATAAATTTCAACTATTAAGTGTTTATTGATCTAATCTTATAAGTTAAGTCAATAAAATAAATTGAAAATTAAGTATAAGACGTAATTTTATAAGTCCGAAGTTTTAATAAAAAAATTTGAGTGCCCTAAAGTTAAATACAAGTTAAAGTGGGATTTATGCATATATTCCTTTTTTAACCCTTCTGGGTTGATAGTTTGTGTTTCAATATTGTACTTTGGACCTTCAAGACACTAAGTTTAATTAATAAAATGTTTTATTGCAGAAGACAGGACAAATAATTATTTAGCAGTGTAATTGAGTCTCCACTCTTCTTTGCTATGGCCAACTTATACCCATTTCCTTTCTGCTTGCAGTAATCCACAAGTCAATATCCATTTTTCATTTTATACATTCTGAAAATCATTTCCGTTTTTCTGAATGAATGACTATTTGAAAATTTTCCACTTTTGTTTTGGAAAAATTAACAATGGAAACCTAGATTAGAATCAAGTGGCCAAGCTAAAACTTTCGGAAGTATTGATCAGTAACAGGAGGCATCTATGGGACCCTATATAAAGGCCCTGCAATTTTATGATCCACCACTAACTCTCACTTGTCACCATCTTCCAACTTCACACCTCTTCACTAAACAGAAACCAAGTGATCTATTGGAAGGTTTTCTCCTTGTTAATGTTTGCCTTCTGTCCGCAACCTGACCATCGCCCACGATTTTGTTTTTTTAATTACTCCCCTGAAATTTAATTAATTCTATATATGTTTAAATCAATTAAATTTAAAATCAAATGATGTTTTTCATTCATTATTCAAATATTTTTGAATTATATTTGCAGACAACAGTAAGCTAGTACCCAGAAGAAATAAGCTAGTTTCTTTTCACCTTGTTACCACAAATTCCAAATGCATTCTCACTTATTTTGGAAAGAAATCCAAATGCATGAATTGAAATGCCATTGAATTATGCCATCTTTTCCAAGTTAAAAATCTATCCAGATTTTATTATTATTTATTTATTATCTATAATGTTTTTTTTTTATTATTCTATTATTGATATAATGAATATTAATTAAATTTATATTTCTAACCGAGTCAAAAATATTTATCCTTTTTTTTCTTTTACAATGTAAATTCAATAATAGTCCCAATGTTTATTTTTCCTAATTTGACTTGATAAATATTAAACCTTGATTGTGTATTTAGGCAGTATTTGGAGTCTGGTTCAATGGTTTCACAATTGCTTGGCAGAAGACCTTATAAGTAGCATTGTTAAGCTTTGTATGCTATGCTTGTTCATGACAGTACTGATGTCAATCTGACTATTGGAAATAGTAACGCTCAACAGGGAATCCAACACTCGGCAGCACGCGCTGCCTTATGGAAAAAGATAAAGTGCCCAAAGAACGAGATCCCCTTCCGAAGAGAAGACAGAGAGGAAGAATAAAATAGCGATGAAAGATAAAAAGAAAAATAAAATGAAATGAAAATTTCTTGATTTTAAGGGTAATTAATTCTTTTCAATATAATATAAACAGCAAAATTCTTAAAAAAAATGAAAAGGATCATGGAATTAGAGAAAAAAACATTAAGAATAAAACTACTCCATTTAAAAAAAAAAAAAAGATAAGGATGAAATTATTATGTTGGTCAAATTACAAGTTAAATTGGATTAATTGCTTTATAAAAATTATTATTCTTTTGTCAAGATAATTTCATCGAAAAGCTTAAAATTAAATTTTTAATTTAATTTCATTTTCAAAAGGATATGAATTTTTTTTATTTCTTTTAAAATCATTGAACTCTATAGCTATTAATAATATAATTTATATCTAATATAGAGTATTTAATATTCATATATTATGATTACATAAAAAAAAAAAAAAACATTATAAATATTATAGATATAGAGTTATTTTAGACTTTAATTTTATTCTTATCATTTTTCAAATATTAAAAGACTACATCGAGACAATAATTAGTTACAACTTTGAAAGATTATCACCCTATTATACTTCCAATTTGTCTTTGATTAACTTATTTAGAATTTCATATGACCGAAATTGTAGTTCGAGGTTTTGGCTTCGCTCTTTTCTGAACTCTCCATGCATCGATATTATTGCTTCCGATCTATGTGGAGAAAGGAAATTTCTCAAAAAAATTCATTGATGCATGATAAAAACAATTTTCCATAACAAAAGTTTTGTAAAAATGCCATTTTCATGATTTTCTTGTTAATACTGTCAACTCTTCTCTCTCCTTTTTAAATCCATTATAGTGTTTGTCTTTTTTCCTTAAAATTAAATATGCATTAAATATTTAATCAATTAAATCTATCGAAACTTCATATAAGAATCCATAATCGCAAAGTTTGCAAAAAAAGGTGTAGTCAATTTCGACAAATCACATTAGAATTTTTTTTACTTGGCTCATCAATTTTAAAACGCTTTTATTTAAAGCATCAATTCCAACCCCCATACAATGATAAATATCATTAAAAGAAAATAGAAAATATATAAAAAATAATTGGTAAAAGTGCAGAGAGAACAAGAGTATACATGAATATTTTTATTTTTTTCAAAAACATAAGGTGCCAAATTATAGTTACACCTGGTAAGCCAAGATTTGACAAGACACTTAATTAACAAGCTAAAATTTGAGTCAATAAAAAAAAACGTTTCAAAAAATGACTCAATTAAAAACTATAAAATCATGCGAAAAAATATGTGTTTGTCCCATTACGTTTCTTGAAATTTTGGTGATAAGAAGGTTAAATTAGGGAGTCATTATAATAGGCAATATAAACTTATACCCAACTTATATTTTGTTCTTAAGAAATCACCGTAAATGTTATATTATTTTAAATTCATATTAAGATTATATAATTACCCGTTAGTTAAAACACATTTTACGAAAAGTGCTAATTTTAGATGAACACCTAA